ACACACACACACACACACACACACACACACACAGTTTTTCAGGGTTGATTTTGGAAGCACAAGGCAGTAGCCCATAATTGATTGTCATTTTGGCAACTACAGGTAAGGCACAAAAATGTAAGGAATTTAAGGAAATTCAGGACTTTTACATTATTCTGTTCCCCTCAATGACTATGTCATATTGCTCTATTTATTTCAGACTCCTTTTTGGTTATGTTTTTATTAGTGCATTATAATTATACATATCTGACATATTCCTACATGCATGTAGCATAATTTTCTTCACTTCATTCCCCAGTACTTCCTCTTTCCCTTCCATCCTTTCCAACATTCCCTTCTTCTTCAGTCTTCCTTCTATTTGTTTTTAAATGAGTACATTATAATGATGCACAAAGTATAATTAATTGTGATATATTCATATATTCATCTAGCATAATTTGTCAATTTCATTCCCTAGTGCCTTCCCTCCTCCTTTCCCCTGGATTCCATCCTTTTACTGTTTATTCTTCTATTGTGGTGAGACCAGACACTTTTTTCCTGACTCTGTCACTACACATTCATAGTTGTCTTTATAAAGGCCTTATACATTTTTGTTAGGATCTTTTTTTAGGTAATTTTTTGACTTTGTTGCCATTGTAAATGGCATATTGTCTATTAGCTGTTCTACATAGTGCTTTTGTGTGGCAACGATTTTAATTTTGCCATTGTAATCAGCTGTACACCTGGTCTGATGTCTCATTCACTTCAATACTCCACATGAATGTTCCTTTGAATTTTCAAGATAGATAATGATATTGTTACTCTGCCTTATTTTCCCCCAATATTCATACCTCTATTTTTTTCTGATGATCACAGCTCTGGCTTTGTGCCTTAGCCCTGTTTTGAAACACAGAGGCAGTAACATACATCTACCTCTTCTTCCTGACTTTAATGATAATTCTTCTAACATTTTACATTTAAGTATGTAAGTGATTTTAGCAAGTGGAAGCTTCCTTTTAATATTAGTTGAATAAATGTTTTTACTATGAGCTTATGGTGAATTTCTTTCAAAAGCATATTCTCAACCATTGACATTATGAAATGTTTTCTCTCATCAATTTTGTATGTAAGGAACTAAAATGGAAAGGTTTTTTCCCTAATGTTTACATCATATTTTCATGCCTTGAATGATGCCTATTTATTCATTTAATTCATTACTTTATCTGATATGCTGCTAATTTATGTAGGATATTTGATGCTGTATGAGCAAGCTTACCTCAAGGGTTCTTATCATGGGGAGGGGGTTCTTGTCTGGTTTTTGAATCCAGGAAAGCTGGCTTGAGACAATGAGTTGAACTACTGGCAACTTTTGATATGCTATGAAAGAGTCAACAATCAGGCAGTAATTAGTTTTCTCTAAC